AGAAGCCAGTCTGTACTGCTATTTACCAATAACTGGGGGAGAAGAAGAGGATTCATACATTTCCCTAAAGTATTAGTACCTAAGTGAAGTTCGATACATGACTGACGAGGCAGATTTTTCCCGTAGTAGGGTGCCATTTGGTAGACCAGTTGCCATTCAAAGCTATAGAACCCGGGAGGAGGAGGCGGAGGATGAGAAGAAGAAGAAGAAGAAGAAGAAGAAGAAGATTCAGACCTTTCCCGTAAGGGAATTTGAGTCAATTATGTACCATGCGTTATACGTAGTAGGTTAACATTACTTTCTGCGGTAGGCCAGTTGCCATCCAAGGCTATATAACCTGGTCTGTCCTGCTATTTACCCTGTAGAAGAAGAGGATTCATACCTAGGGTATTAGCACGTAAGTGAATGCAATGGATTCAACTGGAATTCGAACTCGGCTCTCTGATTCCTCAATCTAAACTTCTGTCCATTACACCACTATGCCTCCCTTGTCAGTGCCAAGTTCCTAAGAAACTATTGAGTATGGCAAGTATTGATGACGTCTACATGCAAGAGGTTGTACAGCCCCTGATGGGTAACTTTGCCATTGCTCTAGCTTATGCTTACCAGACGCCAGATCTATGGAAAGACAATGCTTTCACAAAATCCCCATACCAGGAATACTCTGAAAATCTAGCCAAGACTCATACCAAAATGCCAGTTCGAAGAAATGACGACATTCTAGTACTACATTTAAGTTCATGAAGTCGAGCTACCAAATCTTATCAGAATAATTGATATCCACCAATAGAGTTTCGCCAAATTCTTGTAAGGGAAAATTTTTCAACTTGCAAACAGCCACAAACTATAATTTAGAAGAATTCGCTGCTTCCAGAAATTCAGAATTCTGTCTCACGAGAATATAAAAAAAATTCTATATTGCTTTCAAAATGTGTAGGTCAGAGGTCAGCACCCTTTTGCTAACTATGTGCCGACTTAGGGTTTTAAAATTATTCAGTGTGGCAGCAGCATATGTATTTTTATACAAGTCAAGTTCAATAAACCTATTCTACAATATATTTTATCTAGTAATATTTACTGTAGTATATATTAAAATTCAAACAGTTAAATATCTTCTTTGTGTTGTAGTAGTTATTAGTTCGGACTTCGTGATGTCATTTGCGGCTGCGTACGATTGGGAATTGTTTGGCGTGCCATGTGTGGCACGCGTGCCGTAGGTTTATTCTGAACTGAGTTGTTTTAAGTTAATTTTTAAAACTGCATGAATTTTCTAACGGCCGGTCATCTTTTTCTATTTCTGTTCTGTGTCCAATTTGAGGCTCTAGTCTTAGAACTGTTTTCGGTTAAAATGCGTTACGAACATTGGTTCGGAATGAAAAATAGGAGAGCAGAGTTCGAATTCCAGTTGGGTTCGTTATATTCACTTTCCTTGGGAATTGTGTGAATCCATCTCTTCTTAGCAGGACAGACAGGCTCCTATAGTCTTGATTGGCAACCAGTCCACAGCAGAAAGAAACGTCACCTTTTTGCGGGGGAAAATCTTCTACCTAATCAGTCATGAATCGAAAGATACAGGATCGGCCAAAACGTGTATCACGTGATGACACTTAACTGAAAGTGTCAACAGGTGTGGATGGTGTGGAACGACATGAACGGCCAAACGTGTATCACGTGATGACACTTAACTGAAAGTGTCAACAGGTGTGGATGGTGTGGAACGAGATGAACGGCCAAACGTGTATCACGTGATGACACTTAACTGAAAGTGTCAACAGGTGTGGATGGTGTGGAACGAGATGAACGGCCAAACGTGTATCACGTGATGACACTTAACTGAAAGTGTCAACAGGTGTGGATGGTGTGGAACGAGATGAACGGCCAAACGTGTATCACGTGATGACACTTAACTGGTGTCAACAGGTGTGGATGGTGTGGAACGAGATGAACGGCCAAACGTGTATCACGTGATGACATAACTGAAAGTGTCAACAGGTGTGGATGGTGTGAGATGGCCAAACGTGTATCACGTGATGAACTGAAAGTGTCAACAGGTGTGGATGGTGTGGAACGACATGAACGGCCAAACGTGTATCACGTGATGACACTTAACTGAAAGTGTCAACAGGTGTGGATGGTGTGGAACGAGATGAACGGCCAAACGTGTATCACGTGATGACACTTAACTGAAAGTGTCAACAGGTGTGGATGGTGTGGAACGACATGAACGGCCAAACGTGTATCACGTGATGGCACCTAACAGACCGACTAAACCTTCGTACCAGCCAAAAAAATAAAATAAAATAATCATAATAATAATAATAATACAAAAAAAAAAAGCGGTTAATCCCTGGATATCGTTAATACTGTTTACCCTTTTGACACGTTCGACAATGTTTATTTACAAGATTATAAAAATAAAGAAACCACATACCATGCGATATTTATTATTTAACTTTTAGAAAGAAAGAAATTTGAAAATAAATATTTTTATTCAAAATTTAAAAACAAATTAAATATTATCAAAATATGTAAGAGAAGGAGATATTTTTCAATTTATTTTACTAAATTTATGTAGCGATAGCAAAAATGATGAAATATACGGAAAATAATTTTATATCAATATAAATAATTTTATAATAATTATTAATAATTAATATATAATAACATAATTATATAAAAATTATATAATATAATTATATAATATATATATATATATATATAATAATTATATATATAATTATAAAATATATTATATAATTATATAATATTACAAATTATATATAATATTATATATAATTATATATTATATATAATATTATATAATTATATATAATTATATAATATAATCATATATTATTATAATATAATTAATAATGATATAATAATTATTTATAGCATTATTTATTGGCATATAGGAAGAAAATGAGTAACTCCCGACACTGAGGTTTGGGCGTGTCACTCTAGACTTATGAATATATGTTTTCCGTCAGGTGTATAAATAGGGGTGTCAGGTTACTGACTGTCGTGATTATTGAGTGATTATTGAATGGAACTATCCAGTTGAATTAGTGTAAATTAATTGTGCGTCGATGATTTGGCTTTTGATTTAGGTTTTAGCGGACGTTAAGCCGAGCCGCGCTACTAACAAGGTATTCACTGAAATGGTTAATTATATTTGGTTGACTTTTACTTCTTTGTTAAGTATTTATTTACGGTTGTAAATTAAATACTGTTTTATCTTAACACTGAAGTCTTGAGTTATACTTAATTATTAACGGTCAACGTACGTCACAAAATTTATATAATTTTATAATTTAAAGTGAAAAAATCGAAATGTAATTAGGAATAATCAAATAATTACGTAAGTTCATAATTACAGCTGCATCATGTTATCTAATTAGATTTTCTTGTTTACTGTAATTTTTTTAAAAACTTATTTCATATTTTTTTCTTTATAAAATGGTAAATGTCACTGCAGGTGCTTGGATGGTGTCATCTAGGAACCATTTCACTGTCGAAGTAGTTAAATGTAACCTTCTCTTCTATTCTAACAGCTTCTCTCGCACTTCCCGACCGTGGAACTCACTTCTTCTAACTTACTTCCCTGATAACTATATTCGAATAATTTAAAAATTTAAATCTAACGTCAATCTTCGTCATCTGATGTTTCGACCCCATTCATCTTTTTATACTTTCTTCAATCAAGAACCATCAAAGAATTGTGAATAAGTTTTAAAAGAGGAACAGTGAAAAGGAAAACTGAATCAGGAGGTCACAACAGGAAGGGGATCATCAAAAAAAAATCGATTGAAAAGATCCAACTCAATTCAAAAGATGTTTGGCACGTGAGAGAGGAGTTTCAGCTATGACAGTTAAAAAAGCAGTCAAAAAAGAACAAATGACGTTTATAAATGGACAAACACAATTATTTTAAAGACATTTTTTTTTTATGTTTATACATTCTTTTATAGATACAAATATTTAAGTAAATGCTCTGTTTATAATAAACAGTATTAAACAACATTTACCGGTCTGAATGTCCGAGAAATTTTCACAGAAAATATTCATCCTCCGACAGGTTTCCATCCTATACGGAACGTCATTTGTTTACATTTGGTATGCCATGAGCAGATATGAATGTACGTGAGAGATTCATAGAAGATTGAAGTTCAAATACAATAAATTCGACCTTGCTAACCGAACGCTCCTCTATCGCCAAATCGGTTAAAGGCACATCAAGCTAAATAACGTTTCACCCCCATATATATATATATATATATATATATATATATATATATATATATATATATATATATATATATATATATATATATATATACAGGTATGAGATAGGAACAAATGGAGTATACTTACACTATCTGTAGCATTTAATTTTGAAAAAGGGATCAATACAGAGTAGAGCTTAATTTTACTTATAATAGATTAAAACAAAAACATATTGAAAATCGCAACACAATTGCTTTCATGTTTCACCACTAAGTTATACCTCTTCAGGCGATGGTAAATAACTTGTGAGTAAATGATTATTTTTAATTTCAAGAGCAAAATACACCATATTTTTTCGAAAGAGGAGAAGACGAGAAAACAACAGATCAGAATTAAAACGAGGCTTGTGGCTTTACCCTGATTAACAAACCAGGTGTCAGACCTACGCTAAATTCAAAATTTCAACTTTTCGAACAAAGATGTTTTTAATATAGATAGATAGATAGATAGATAGATAGATAGATAAGGAACAGACCTAGATCAGAAACAGAGATAGATAGATAGATAGATAGATAGATAGATAGATAGATAGATAGATAGATAGATCGCCCGGAAATATACAAATCTAATTAGTTTGATGTTTAAAAACAGCGACATTTTCCGTCGGAAAACATTGAACACGAATCAACCTTTGACCTTTGTATCGCAGTCACGTAGAAACTTTCTCTTTAAAATATGTACACTTTAAAATTAATTATATTCATAATTTGGTTATGTCCCTCAATTATACTCTCTCTCTTTCTCTTTTCTTCTTTTTCTCTATTCTCACTCCTCTCTCTCTCTCTCTCTTATTTTCTATCTTCCTTTCTTCTCTTTCTCCTCCTCTAACCCACTCTCTTTTTGTTTAGTCTTCTTTACTCATTATCTTTCCTTTCATTTCCCCTTACTCTCTTGCTTTTTTTCTCTCTAAGTTTCTCTATTTTCTCGCTTACATGCTCCCTCTTTCCTTTTTCTTTTTTTTTTCTCTCATTACTTTCGTATTCGCTTTCTTCTATCTTTTCTCTCAACTTGTCTGTCTCTTTCTCTATTACACGTTTGCTCTTTCTTTTTCGATTCTTGCATCTCTCTTTTATTACACTCAAACTATGTGTTTAGGCCCTTCATTGTCCTCACTAGCATTTTCCTCACTCTCTTTATGACACATCTACTCTCTACATCTCTCTCTCTCTCTCTCTCTCTCTCCCTCTCTCACTTTGCTTTTATCTTTTTCACTTACACACTCACATTTCTATCTCTTCTTTCTTTTCACTCTTTCTCTCTCTCGTTTTCACATCCTCTTTCTTTTACTTATTTTTTACATTCTGTCATTTCTGTGACTTTCTTCTCTCTTTCTCTCACTCTGTCTTTCTTTTATCTTCCGTCTTCGCTCTCTCTTTCTTCTCATGTCACTATATACCGTATATACTAGTGTATAGTGCGAATTTTAATGACCATTTTTTACGCAAAAGATTTGGGCTCGCACTATACACATGGACTTATTTTAAGGGGGTTAAAATAAATTAAATTTCGTTTACTATCATGTCGATCAAAGAATTTGATGTCTTTTACTATTCACCTTTGACCCGATAAACGAATGTAGCTAAAAACATTACAAGAAATGGTCTAAGAAAGGGGTTTACAACCAAGGGGAAATTCACAAGAGGACCGAATTTCATGGTTTCTGGGAGATAGGAAAATTATTTTAGTTTTTCTTGTTTTTTATTTACAGAATTTTCTTCGTTAAATTCCAGTACCCTGCCATTCGGTTGAATCCGAGATAGATCGAAACAAACATAGATAGATAGATAGATAGATATGAACAGGCTTATATAGATAGGTAGAAACAGATTGAGATAGATAAGTATCAACAGACTGAGAAAGTGTTGTAGAGTTGTTTCACAGTGGAGGCTTGTATTTCACTAAGTCGGTCCTAAAATAGGTTCGACGTACAAAACGTTAGGAACTTGATATAATAGGTAATGACGCAGAGAAATCTAGTTGTGGTGGTCGCTGATACTTTAGTATCCGACTAACGGTCGTCTGGCATCGACTGATTGAACAAGGATATTTAGTCACCCTCCCCCACGAGAGCATCATGTGGCACAAGGCCGGTTTAACGTGGGGCCGGTTTACTGAGCCCGTATAAACGGGTTCAGGGTCGGTTTCTCCCGAAAGAGAATCCGCCTCCGGCGTAGCCTCCTTCGGGTTCCTCCCCGCTCGAAGGCAGAGAGTTCAACCGATCAGCCAGTCGACTGACTGACCAACCATATTTAAACATGGCACAATGCCAGTTTAACGTAGGATCTCCGAGCCCGCGGGCTCCCCAAAAATATGATGGCCATTGAACCCGAATAAACGGGCAGGGTAGCCTCCCCGTAAGAGAATTCGGGTAGCCTCCTTCGGGTTCCCCCCTCTCCGACTGACCGACTCCCTGAGTGACTTCTACTACTACTCCTACTTATTACAGGCGGTAGAGTCTATTAACTATAGAATAGGTGCGTTCCACTATAACAGAAAGATAGAAACAAACATAGATAGATGGATATGAACAGACCGAGATTAGGTGTAAACAGGCGGAGATAAAAGAAAAAACAAGAAGAAAAAAGGAAAGAAAAAGAAAAAGAAAAAAAAGGAAAACAAGAAGAAATAGTAAAAGAAAAGGAAAAGAAGGAGAAAAACAAGAAGAAAAAAGGGAAAAAAAAAAAAAAGAAAAAGAAAAAGGAAAAGAAAAGGAAAAACAAGAAAAAAAGGAAAGAAAAAAGAAAAGAACAAGAAGAAAAAAGGAAAGAAAATGAATAAAAAAAACAAAAATGAAAAAGAAAAATCAAGAAGAAAAATCAAGAAGAAAGAAGAAAACGAAAAGAAAATAAGAAGGGAAATAAGAAGGAAAAGTGGAAGTAAAAGAAGAACATGAAGAAAAAGAAAAAGAGGAAAAAGGAGGAGAACAACAAGGAAATATATCTGTTGAGACATCTGACATCATTAAAATATCACCGATTGCCACTTGTAAGTTTTTTCTTGGTTGACAGTTGATATCAAAATACCTCGTATTTCAAGATGATAAATCAGAAGCAAGAGAAATTCCAAATACAGTTTGTCACCAAATTAAATTCTTCATTCCACAACAGGAAAAGGTGGATGCGGTTGTGCAGTGGTTCGAGACTCAGGTGGAGAATTCAGCGAACAGATTTTAAATCCCTGTAGAGATTGCGGCATTCAATTTCATGCAAAAACCATTTTGAAAAGGGGAAAAATCCATCTCTTTTATCCCCCAACTACGGTTAAATAGTAACGTTGACAGGACTTTTGAAACCAGAAAAAAACATTATATATGTCCTATGTAATACGCTTCATCTTTCAAAAGGACTTCTTCAGCAAAAAATAATGTTTTCTATTAAGGGAATCTTGCAACCAGTATAGGAAAAGCATAAGTTCAAATTCAAAATCAAATGTGACACTCAAGGGGCATTTACTTGAACTGTAACTCCGGTTCGCTCAGCATAGTTACCATGTCCTGAGGAGACGGGCAAGCTTAGAAAAAAACCCACCATCATGAAGAAGAGAAATCACAATTTGATTTACAATGGGCGTGCAAGTGGAAATAGTTCTTATGACAATCAATAGGATGAAGGGCCACTTAATCTGAACCATTTAACTTTACGTAGTTCTTAACCACGAAAAAAAAACTATCACAGTATACATTTCTAAGTTAAAGTTACAAAATGAACGTGTCGACAATTACCAAAATTTTTTCGAGTTTTAGAGCCTCTAATACAGTAAACAAACCGAATTTGGCTGCTGCTTTCGTCGCTGTATCGAGTGACGTCACTAAACGAACGCCATATGGCCCACGTGACTTATCTCTATCAAAGGGAGATAATCGTCTTCTGTATCCCTACAATTGTTATACATGTGTTTTAGTTGTACTTTCCCCACAACGCAACAGGCATTATTAAGTAAGAGAAGTTACTCAAGCATTTAATAGTTATTTCTCTTTGACACCCACTTCCTTCAATCTGTTGGCATGAGAGTGAATGTAAGTAAACAAGCGGGAATGAAACGAAACGCAAAATGTTAAAAAAGACCACATAGTCCCCATTAAATTAAGTTTGCCCATCATGTATCCAGGGATTGCTCTAATGGCTTCTCGGACGTAATTAAGGGATTTTACGTATCTTAAATCATGATATTTCCATCTGGATTGGTGGGAGGAAAAACATCACCAAGTCAAAATTGAGCGCAGAATCATTTGAGGGCTGGGCTAATAAAGGTGTAAATCGATTTAAAAAAGGGAAAGTGTGTTGGGAAAATCCTAAAATATACAGGTTTCATTTGTTTATGGACACGAGCTAGCAGTTTCAAAACAATGAACAACACCTGTCTTTTCACACCGGACAGTGATATCTATACAAATAAAGATGAACGTCTGTGTGTCTGTGCAGTCAAGTCAAGAACAAGCGGATCTAAGCGAAGATTATATGCTCAAGGTGCTGTAGACGCAAGTCTGAAAATAAATTAAAAAATAGATGACAGAAGGCGTACACTAATCTGAATGAAACTCCAGATATAAAGAATACTCGACGAAAAGCAGTAACTAGGCAACTGGATATATTAAACTGAAAATAAACATCAAAATAATGGTACTTTTTTATTATTGATGTTTTTGTAATACTTAAATAAATATTGTAATATGCATGTTATAGTTTTCCTCAATCTTTTATTTAGTTATATATGTGATGATTACTTCATTTATAGACCAAAATATAGAGATCGAACCATTTATTTCGTTCACCGGGGTAGAGTTTTATAGTTCCAAGTGCCATGTCATATCCGGATGTTTCAGTTATTTCCCTTTAACTCAACTCCCCAAATTTTTGTTTTACCACTGTTGGATCCTGGTATTGAATTCACAACACTTTGGGTCTAGTCACTGGATCTAATCAACGCCTTTATCTACTGTGCTCAGTTCGAAATTCCAATCACCTGAAGAAGGTCGGAGCGTACAACGGCCGAAACGTTGTGAATATAGCAATGAAGATGTGGATAACAGTCCGAATAATGTAAGAAATGTAATTAATCCTTTTAGAAGTTTTAAATGTTTGACTGGTTCAAAGATATTTTGTGATAGTCGTCCTCGACAATGTGGTGGAAGCCATCATTATATAATAATTCTTCTTGTTCCTTAGTTAGTCAGTTAGCACGCACGTCACGCCCTGACATTGCCTTACATAAATAATGGACGATTCCGTTTTTATTTCGAGGAAAGACGGAAATAAAATATATATAAGAGCTGATGATTTGTTTTAAAAGCAGACAGACAGAAAGAAAGAAAGAAAGAAAGAAAAGGCAATCATGCGTTTAACGTCTGCTTCAGTGAAACCATAATTTCCATACTTTAGCTGCCTATAATTGATCATTGATAGAGTGAACAGCGTCTGAAATAAAAGAAGAATTATCAACATCATATACTCATTCTGCATATTCCTTCATCCTTTGGTTGCACCCTACCATTGCCTCAGATACATAATGGACAATTCCGTTTTGAGCGCAAGGAAAGACAGAAGAAAATAAATTATCAGACACGACGTTTGGTTTTAGTGAAAGAAAGAAAGAAAGATGATGATACCGAAGTAGATAACACTCTCGTATTTAATGTCTGCTTCAAATAAATGTAAAAAAAAACTTGTTAATTTAAATCATTTCATTTGTACCCTCTTACTTCCTTAAATAATGAACTGCATTTATACATATAATTGTTATTGTCATATTTGGTTAAAACTAAGCTCAAATATTTAATGATGCGAAAGAAGAATTTTATAGTCAAGGAGCTTATTTATTCAGAAAATTAAAAGGAAAAACGTGTACTGCTAGTATACTGTGGGTTACCCACATGTCTTCGACAAACATCCGTTAGGTGGCGCTGCTTCAGTGTATAAAAAGACAAATATTTCCTTCCTCTTTCTTCTTCTTGCTCCAAGAGCTAGAACGTCGTAGTCGAGAACCTCCCCGTTGGGTCACGTTCTTTTCCACCGGCCTAGTGATGACTTAACTCAACGTTCAAACACACGCAAATACACACACGTGTGTATCACACACGTGTGTACCACACACGTGTATCACACTCACAAGCAAGCACATTTTAATAGCTATGTTTTTAATGTCTTCCCCATTCCTTTCAACTGTGCACACGTTAATAAAATTTCATTTTTGTTAATACATTCATTATATTTTTTAATCAATTTCACGCCAAACATGGCATTGAAGCCACTGAGACACAAGGTTGGGAATTACCAGGCGTGGAAGAACCAGAAAACAGAAACTTTACTAAAGAGCAAGAACAAAATAAGTGTAATCAGGAGGATAATGATTGATATTGCATTTAAATTATTGCGAATTAAAGTTGGCTGGAAAGCATGGAGCTGGAAGAGT